TGGTCTATGAAAGTTGTCTTATTAGCTTTTTCATGTAAGAACACATATAATTAGACACCAAAATTGTTAAAATCGGACCATTATAACAGATGTTATGAATTTGACCCGAAAGTGTGTTGACCTTTCCACATGTTCGGCCATTGTGTCGTAACGCAAAGTCAAACCTAGGTCAAACTATATATTTTTTAATTCTACTCATCAAGACGAGTAAATTGATATAAATCTTAATAGGATTGGACCATTTTTGAATTTTGATCCAAAATTGGTGGTTTTTGGCCAAAAAATGGCCAAAAAATAATTTTCAATTTTGGCATCGCCCCTGACGTGAGGTCACTACTTTTTATGTAAATTAGTATGTTACCAACCTTGAATACTCTCAAATGATCTTAAATAATATATTAGACCACCGTGAAGTCACAGTCGTACTTGTTTATTTTGAGAAGGTTACCAAGTGTTACCTAACATCCAATTGTCTTGAATGTTTTATTACTTTGGTGTTGATTGTGAGCTCTCCATTAATGGACGCTCAATACAACTACTATACCCACAGTACGCCAATTACAGTTATATTTACATATCGGCGGGTCTGATTGGCCAATACAAGTACATTACGAATGCCACGTGACCTATGTCCCTCCCCATATAAAAAGACGGAATGATTTAATTCCCGGTCGGCGTCGTTTTCGTCGTCGGTCGGTCATATTGGTCAGTCGTGGTTATCCAACAACATGCATCTCCAGGCGTAGCCGTGAGACTGTCACGTTGCAACCAACTTATGTCAACATATTGTACTGTAAAGTACTACAAAAGGCTAAAATAAATTAAAAACTGTTTTCAAGACTGGCAATAGAATGAACGGCAATTCTTTGTAAATTTGTAAAAAGATTATTCACATTAACTAAAATTAGTGATGAATCTAAGACAATAGAACAAATTTACTATAATAAAGTCTGGTTGCCAGCGGTATTTAAACTAGAAAAGAATAAGCCACGTACTTATAAAAAGTTTAAACTAAATTTTTATTTTGAACCATATTTCGAACAAAATGCTTACTCGGCACTAAAGATAGCTTCATTTTCAGCTTGGGAAAATTTATTTATTTCTAAGCTTTTGATTACTAGGCTATTTTTTTGATTGTATGTTTTTTCATTCATACTAAATTATGTGTCAAATATCTATTAATCTATTAACGATGACAACAATAATACCTTTATTTTTGTAAAATAACGACTTACCCGAGGAAGTGGTTTAACTTTCTCTGCCGTGAATGATCCAATAGGTATAACGTGTGCCATCAAAGGGCGGGGAAACTCAAAGGCAAAGTCCGAAGCCCATAACCACAGACTGGCCTTGGATTTTATGTCCACAATCTTCGTATCAGGAACTATGTCGTATTTATTCTGTAATTGTATGTAGTGTGCGATATATAGATCTTCAAAAAAACTCGAGACCAAATAAATGACAGTATTTTTTAGTCTTTCCATGAAAGTCATTTTGTCTGTGAGGGCCGACATAGTAACAGGTACGTACGATAATGGTTGAGGTGCATGCCAGTATTTCTCTTCTGCCGTCGTAAACGCGTAACTGATGAACGGTAATTTGAAATACTCAACATAGAGTAACCCACATACGTTTTTGGAGTCAACAATAGAAAGGTCAAACGCATTGATGCGATTGAATTCTGTTAGGTCAGACAGGTTACTGAATATGTCGTCGCAGATTCCAGCCAAAAATTTGGAAAGGTTTTGATACATATGGATACTGAACCCTTCATTGATGGTACTCTGCAACAGGTCCAAGACCCTCTTCTCTACGTCAGTCGGTGTCAAACTCACTGGTACTGCCTTTATCTTGTACGAATTACTGTTAGACGGTGTTTTGTCACACGATGGTATAAGCATTGTGACATCATGCCCATTTGTAGCTATGGCATCGGCAACTTTACCATAACCAACATCGTGCTGTCTAAAGTACATTGGAATTAACAATATACGAGCACTGCTAACTATACCAATGTCGCACATGGTAAGAACCGTAATGGAAATAAGTGCAATTGCAGACTTCATTTCGATGTAGGTCATTTTTGTTTGGTCTCACTTCACTCCAGTCTCACTACAGCAATAATTATACTGAAGGTATTTGAGCATGCGTGATGTATTTGTGGATTGCGTAGAATTTTAATGACAAACACATTTGCGACCCCAATCCAACATTGGAAATGTCCACTATTTGTGCACATATTCAATGTTCAACTCTTTCACCGCCGGTTCCTTATTGTCATCACGTGTATAGTCTGTACTTTCCTTTAAAAGATTGGGACAAAAATTGCCAAATTTGTTCAGTAAAAACTTCAAATTGCGTCTGAATAATTTAGCCGAGAAAGTGTAGGAGTTAAAGGTTATCGTCGTATATAGGTCACGTCAGATTTGACTAACCACATATAAAACCTTCTGATTCGCTATTGTGAATGCCGTGACCCGATGACCACGTACGCCTACAGAAAGGCCTGGATAATGTGCCAAACAAATTCAACAATTTGTACAGCACTGGTGTCTGTGGCTAATTCTCATATCAGTTTTTAATCTTTACCCCCTGCATACTGTATTAATTATCATCTGTATATGAATACAACCACGAGTACTAGTATTACAGTTGTATTTACATGCAGGTGTTAACTATTACAGTTGTATTAACATGCGGATTGCAAACTGTTACAGTTGTATTCACATGCAGGTGGTAAACTATTACAGTTGTATTCATATGCAGGTGTTAACTATTACAGTTGTATTAACATGCGGATTGCAAACTGTTACAGTTGTATTCACATGCAGGTGGTAAACTATTACAGTTGTATTCACATGCAGGTGTTAACTATTACAGTTGTATTAACATGCGGATTGCAAACTATTACAGTTGTATTCACATGCAGGTGGTAAACTATTACAGTTGTATTTACATGCAGGTGGTAAACTATTACAGTTGTATTAACATGCGGATTCCAACCTGTACAGTTGTATTCACATGCAAATGGTAAACTATTACAGTTGTATTCACATGCAGGTGTTAACTATTATAGTTGTATTAACATGCGGATTGCAAACTGTTACAGTTGTATTCACATGCAGGTGGTAAACTATTACAGTTGTATTCATATGCAGGTGTTAACTATTACAGTTGTATTAACATGCGGATTGCAAACTGTTACAGTTGTATTCACATGCAGGTGGTAAACTATTACAGTTGTATTCATATGCAGGTGTTAACTATTACAGTTGTATTAACATGCGGATTGCAAACTGTTACAGTTGTATTCACATGCAGGTGGTAAACTATTACAGTTGTATTCACATGCAGGTGTTAACTATTACAGTTGTATTAACATGCAGATTGCAAACTATTACAGTTGTATTCACATGCAGGTGGTAAACTATTACAGTTGTATTCACAT